CACAGGGGGGTAAGCTGCAGAAGATAAGACAGGGCACTGCTGCTGACTCTAGTCTTTCCCAGCAGGCTGTTTGAAAGCCTGAAGCCCAGGGAGGCAACAGGTAAACACATAAACTCCGCAAAATGTGTGATAAATCAGATCTGGTCAGCATTTGATTTGCATTATGGTATTCTATTAGATCCAGCATGCTGCTACTTTCGAGATGTGCCCTTATTTAACACCCTCAGTGCAAACACCAATAGCCCACAGTGCTTCCTGTTTGTCATCAGACACCATGCATGGGAAGAGGCCTCGAGGTACACGGTGGAGCTGGTGGGTTCCAAGGTGGGGCCTTCGCAGACCCATGTTTCCCCATCCCTTGCTCTTCCATCTGCCTTCACACTGATGCCTGCTCCTCCTGTTTGTCATGCATGTGGTAGTGGGATGGCAGATGTACCTTTGTTTCTCATATCTACTTTGCAAAAGGAAGAAGAGTGTCATCAGTCAGGATCATGGAAAAGAACAGAACCAGGCCTGGGGAGAGGGCTTAGCTAGTCAACTGTCTTCCTTGCAAGGTCAAGCACTAGAGCTTGGTCTTCAGAAGCCACGGAAAACTATAAGCTGCACCTTGCTGCATGCACTTGTAACCTCCGTACTGGGGACACAGACACAGGAAGGCAGCATGCTGAGGTACACTGTCCACTCAGCCTAACCTAATGATCAAGCTTTGAGACAGGGACAGGCTACCTCAAGACAAGACAAGGTAGGTGGCCAAGGACATCCAAGGTTGTCCTCTGTCTTCCACATACATACACACATAAGTGTACATGTACACGCACACATATGCACTCAAGGAAGGAGGGAATAGAGAGGGAGGGAAAGGAAGAAGGACAGAAGGAGGGTGAGAAGAAGGGAGAGAAGGGATGAGAAAAGAAGTGAGCTTTGTAGGTCTGTCTGTCTGTCTCATTTCTAAAGGAGGGGGGAAGTACTTATGTGTACACATTTTGGTTGCAGCCAAACAAACCCGAAATCTGTAGATCAGGCCAGCATCCCAGAAACTCAGGGACAGGAGCTGAAGTTCGCATCTCCAGGCAGAATTTCTTTTTCCTTAAGAGACGCCTCAATTTTGTCTTAGGGCCCTCGGCTGATTGGGCAAGGCCCACCCACCTGGTGGAGGATGATCCCCCCTCCTTTAAAGTCAATTACTTTGCTCATGCCTTTAGGACACCTTTCCCACCACATACGGGTCACTGCTTGCTGCATGACGGTACGATCACACAGCCATTGCAGGAAAAAAGAAGAACATAGGAGAGCTTCCAGTCAGAGTTTGCCCATCAGGGAAGGACCCATTCCCCATGTTTTGTTGGAGGAAACAGGGTCACATGACCACCCTAGCAGCAAAGGAGGCAGGAAGGAAGGTGTTAAGTTTTCTGGCATCTATAGGGCGGGTCTAAGCTCAGCTGTGACTGGTATTCAGCGGGCAGCTTTAGCTTCTTCCCTGGGCTGTTTATTTACTGGGCATTTAATGAGTGCGAGAGGCTGAATAGTGCGTGCTGCTCGGGTTAGAGTCCTGTTGCTCATTACCGAGGATAATTAAGTGACATTGGCTCCCAATATGGAAAACTCACCCTTCCGTGCTCAGCAGCTGGAAACGGCCTTGTGATTATTGCAGTGCTGTGGGATTCGGTCTTTTAACATTTAAGCTAAGAAGTAAATTCAGGGGCTGGAGAGGTGACTCCATGCCTAAGAGCATTTCCTGTGCAGTCCAGAAGACCAGAATTCTGATCCCAACACCCACTTAACAAGACAAGCATCCCACCCACACTTGTAACCCTGACTCCAAGGTGGGCAGAGACAGGAGGATCGCTAGGGATTCTCCCTAGGCAAAAGTAAACACAAGCCTCAGGGGAGACCCTGCCTCAGAGGAATATACAGCAAGTGATAGAGGACACCAGAGGTCCTCTTCTGGCCTCAATACACATGTGCACACACACACACACACACACACCCGCCGCCTCCATGATGATGTGTCACTGTGACCGAATGCTTGACAGAATTGTTTATATCCATTACTTTTTTTCTTTTTTCTTTCTTTCTTTCTTTTTTTTTTTTTTTTCATTTTTCGAGACAGGGTTTCTCTGTGTAGCTTTGCACCTTTCCTGGATCTCGCTCTGTAGACCAGGCTGGCCTCGAATTCACAAAGATCCTCCTGCCCCTGCCTCCCAAGTGCTGGGATTAAAGGTGTGCACCACCACCGCCCAGCTCATTACTTTCTGATGCTGTGATAAGACACTCTAACCAGAAGCAACTTAAGAGAGTTAATTTTGGCTTAAAGTCCCAGAGGTCTAGATGTCAATAATGATGGGGAAAGTGTCATAGCTGGATCCTGCAGCTGAGAGAGACACCTCAACCAGATAAAGGAAGCCTCACGGCAGAGAACAAACAGGAAGTGGGGAAAGGCCATAAATCCTCAAAGCCCACCCCCTGTGATGTATTTCCTCCACCAAGGTACCATGTTCTAGAAGTTCCATACCCTCCCCAAAATAGCACCACCAACTGCAGACCAACTGTTCAAATACCTGAGCCCATTAGGGACATTCCTCATTCAAACCACCACACCTGGGAGCCTGTATTTCTCACAAACTGGCAGATGCATCCGTACCTGGGGTAGGGAGGATAGAGACCACCTCTGATATCACCGCTTTCATTTCTCTCTGGCTCAGATAGAACAACCTGCCCTGTGGCCACAGGAGGAAGAAGTCCAAGTCCTCAGTTCTTCCATTGCAGCTACCCTCGGGGAGAGGGGACTCTCCACACAGAGCAATCCCAGGCACTATCAGCAATCATCCTGTTTGACCAGTTGGCAACTCCAACCTGCCAGGCAGGGTTTGAAAAAGAAAAAGAAAAAAAAAGTAATTAGCCCAGGTGAGGCTCATTAGAGTCAGTCTGGCATTCTGCCAGCCATACCAGTCGCTTTGTGCCAACCGTTGATTTTAATATCAATGGTGGTGCTGACAAGGACCAGGCAGGCTGGGAGGGAGTGTCATACCAGCCAGCCCTCTCCCCCTCCCCTTCCACAGGCTCTCACTGCGAGGTGAAGCAGTCTGCTCCATCAAATCAGAGCTGGCTCCTGAGTCACTCTTCCCGGCCTCCCTTCTCTAACAGGCTGGGCCCCAGGTGATCTTAAAAAATTAAATGAAGCTCAGAAAATGAGACACAGAGGAGAGCCAGGAATTAATAGCCCATCCCTGGCGCCGGCAGAACTCCTGACTGTATGTCCCTTGTCAATTTCCTTGGAATTCCTTTGGGCTTTTGGAACTAGCAAAGATTTAGTCTGAGATCTCACAGCTCTGGAGTGTTTCCACCATAATGTCCCAGTGTCCCAGTATGGCCTTGTTCTCATGCAAAATTTAAAATGGGCCACAACACTAACTTTTCTTCCCATGAACCGAGATATTTATGTGGATGCAGTACTTTCAAAGTAAGTCTGTAGACTGGCCTCTGCATATTGCAAAGGCACCAGCTAAAAATTCTCACTACTGGGGTGGTGTGGAGGCACATGCCTTTAATCCCAAAAGAGACAGGTGGGTCTCTGTGAATTCGTGGACAGCCTGGTCTGCACAGGGAGTTTTTAGGCAAGTCAGGGCTATGCAGTAAGATGGTGTGTGTGTGTGTGTGTGTGTGTGTGTGTGTGTGTGTGTGTGTGTGATCACCCTCACCATCATTATCACCACCAATCAATATTATCATCACTGCCGACATCTTTGTCTCCATTATCAATGCCAGGTACTGATGACTTTGTATCGTTAGGCATCAGGTTTTGCATTCTATAGTATTCTCTCAATGAATACAAGTGCCAAGGAATGCCATTCCCATGATACTGCAGAAAAAAAACAGGCTTAGTGAGCCAATATCCACTTGGCTGAGACCAAATTCATTCTTGAAGAATAAATGCACATCTCTTGAAGAATTTGAGGACAGAGTTATTGCCTTAAAACTCTAACTAAAAATCAAGAGTTGTCATTGATTAATTTTTTTATAGCAGAGTGTGAAACAAAATAAAGAAAAGGAAAGAGGAGGGGCTGAATCAGGCAAATGCACTAAATAATACTTCTGTGGTGCATGCATGAGAAAAAAGTGTGACCATGATACTGTATTGACCTTAAGCACGAAAAAGGATGAATTCCAGTTGGCTACCTTACAATAGATGTGTCTGCACTCTTCAGAGGAAAGGGGGGCCTGTTTCAGAAAAGTTAAACATAAAATTTGTAACTTCTGTTTTCTCATTTGTTCCTTTAAAAAAAAAAAGTGGAATGGGCACCATAGTAAAATCTCACTACCTGTTCTGCATTTGTTGTACTTACAAATATATATATATATATATATATATATATATATATATATATATATAGTGAGAGAGAGAGAGAGAGAGAGAGAGAAATCAGTTGCAATAGGCTGTCATCAATGTGACAATTGTGTATGAGAAAAAGAGAAAGAATATGCCATTTAGGTGTGAGCAACAAATACTAACTCGGGAGAGTTTTGACAAGTCCAGGACCTCACGAGTGCATAGAGCGCAGCTCCTGCAGGTGGAGGGGAGACCGAAGTAAGTAAGGAACACATTCTGCGGGAAGCCAGGTCTCATTTTGACTTGAGGTAGAAGAATCCAACATACGTGTGTGCTCTGTGGGTGTGAAGACATGAGAAG